TTGACATAAAATGCCTTCCCAAAACATTTGATCCTTTGAACATGCCCTTGCTCTTGATCTGCTGTGTCATTTACGAAACATTCTCTGTGTTTCTTACCTTTTATTTGGAAAAACCATACATTTGAATCTTGCAGTTATTTCAAAAGATGGAGCTGGACAGTTGGATCTTCTTATCTTGGACACACTATTCAAGGTCAGGAGAAAGTCTGTTAGCTCATCTTGTGTTTCCTGTTATTATTAAGGCATATTCTTCATAATCTGCTTTGCCTTTTGTTTCATTGCAGACTGGATCCCATAATGTTCACCTTTGCCTCCCACAGGTTGGTTTATACACTAAAAAAATATCTTTATTTGTTATAGCCAAATGTTCATGGCAGCGACTATAATGTTCGCAGACTCTTGAAGCCGTGAAGAGGATTTGTCCAAAAAAAGCCCTGTTAATTGGAATGACTCATCAGTTTGATCACCATGTAGACAATAAGTTTCTTATGGAATGGTCTGAGAGGTAAGAATTATGATCGCATTCCTTTATCGAATTGGATAACAGTCCAGGGGTTCTGTGGCTTTCATCATCTAGCTTTAGAGTTGAGACTAAATTGAATTATGGAACTACTTTTGCAATTCACTTTTCTGTACAGGTAAGAAACATTGTTACTTAAAGAAACTTAAGCTTTCAACTTTTCTGTTGTTTGCATATAGGGAAGGGATTCAAGTGCAGCTTGCGCATGATGGTTTGAGAGTGCCTGTAGACCTATGAAAGGTGCGCCGTGAAACATTAGGTGAATTATGGTATTAATGCAAGTACGTATTTGAAATGCAAAGATTAATGAGAACTCGATTAGGTGGGCAAATGAAAGTAACTCAATCCCTTTTTTACCTCTACTCACTCGTGGAGTGATTTTCTTCGTTCAATCCTTTCCTCAACCTCCCTCCACTCAGAACCACATGCATCTTCGAGTCTACAAGTGACTTGAAACAAGAGAACATGTGATAGTGGGATTCCAACTGAACAGCGTTAAAATCTTTTGAACTAAATTTTTTTCCCGTCTCATGTTACCTTACGCAAATAGAGTCGAAAGATGCACAAACAAAGGCTCATACATTTTGTGCTCTGCGTGCAGGTTAATGCTGCTGTGCATTAAGATGAATATACCGTATACAGTTTCCATCCCCATGTTGATGGGAGGAAAGCAGATGCATGCAATATTCTTGAAGTCCATACTCGGTGGTTGTATCAACCAGTGTCTCTGAAGACGTAAAATTATTTAACAGGGATTTTAGAACAGTTAGTTCACCAAAACCCACTTCACTTCGACGGCAGACGGAAACTTTACGCTCATCAAACTTGTATTATGGTGAGCCTACATTTACGTTTATACAGTGTGATGTTACAGCAGTTGATCACTAAATATTTCAACAATCATTTAATATTGAATGATTACGCTTTCTGGTTAGAGAGAAATTTAGCTACTACTACTGGGTGTTAGAATGCGGTAATCCAAGCCAGGTTCGCGTTGTCATGCGTTTTTAATTTTTCTACTTGACTGTGTAATTAACTTGAGATATTGTTGCAATCACATTTCGTTGCATGGAAGTTCCTTTCGTTTGGTTTATGTTTCGAAACTCAAGCCAAATGGTGTTCTTGCAATGCGAATGCGTTTGGTTTCCTCATAGCTGGATCTGTGGGTTGAGTGTGCAACGGTACTGGAAGCATGGCGCTTTCAGGAATCTGGACAATAAGGCCATCTCCAATCGAGAGTGGCTTAAAGTTCAAAACCAAAAAAATAGTCTAATTTGTCCAAAATTATTTTGAACCGATGGTTAGGCTATAATTTTATAAAGCTCATCAAGCTAGCTAAATGTAGCTCCTCTTCTTAGCTGCTCATTTTTAGGGTTCAGCTACTTAGTTGCAATAATTGGTTCAAATTCAATTGCCTGATTTGAAAACATAATATGGTAGTTCAATTAATTAGTAAATAAATGTAATGTATAAGTTTAAAACTAATAAATTATTGATGGGCTATGTTTATTCTATTCAGTTGGAGATAGTATATGAGTATGACCTAACACTGTTCATTTAAAAATAAATTTATTTACAAAATTATAGTTTTGGACAGTGCTATATTTAACTATTTCGATTGAAAATAACTTAAAAACACTTGTAGTATGTAAAAGCTCGTCTTGACATAAGGCAATTAATTCCTTCAAGCGAATAGTAACTATTCAAGAGACTTGCCCTTGGCAATTGGTATCTCCTTTTTACTCTAGTTTATAAATGGTGGGTGGTTTTGATCATTTCAAATAAATCTTCTAATTGACCAGTCAAACCCAGACTCATACTTTGAATGCCAAATATCTCAAACTAATCCAAATTTCATCGATGACGTTTTTTCTCTTTGGGGAAGGAAGGACCACCGGACGTTCTGACTGCCACCGTCACTCATTTTGTTAGACCGATGAAAACGTGCCACTTGTGCGTGAATTGTGTCAATAAGGACAGAAACAGCTCACTAGTTCTTCCAACAACAAGATTCTACTACTGGGTGTTAGAATGCGGTAATCCAAGTCACGTTCGCATTGTCATGCGTTTTAACTTTTTTTACTTCATTGTGTAATTGATTTTAGATATTGTTACAATCACATTTCGTTGCATACAAATTCTTTTCGTTTGGTTTAGGTTTCGAAACTTGAGCCAAATGGTGTTGTTGCAATGGGATAAGGATTGTCTGCCCTCCCACTTCTAGTGCCCTTCTGTTTTGTGTGGTTACGATTAAGCCACGTCAATATTTAAATTTTTTTTTTTATAGAGATAATAAGACAAAAATGAATAGTAATATAAAATGTTGACGTGATTTAACCGTGACCACACAAACAGGAGGGCACGGAAGGACACCGGAAGTGGGAGGGTAGACAATCCTTGTCCGTTGCAATGCGAATGCAATTGGTTTCCTCATAGCTGGAGTTGTGGATTGAGTGTGCAACAGTAGTAGAAGCATGGCACTTTCAGGAATCTGGACAGTAAGGTCATCTCCAATGGAGAGGACTAAAAGTCCAAAAGCAAAAAAATGGTTTAATTTGTCCAAAATTATTTCGAAACCGATGGCTGAACTATAATGTTATGAAGCTTACCAGGTCATTATTTGGTCAAAAGGGTATCAAGCTAGCCAAATGTAGCTCCCTTCTTAGCTCTTTTTTAGGGTTCAACTCCTCAGTTGCAATAATTGATTCAAATTCAACGGCCATATTTGAAAACATCGTATGGTAGTTTAATTAAATTAGTAAATAAATGTAATGTATAAGCTTAAAACTAATAAATTATTGATAAGTTATGTTTATTCTATTTGATTGGAGATGATATATGAGTACGACCTGATACTGTTCATTTAAAAATATTTTTTTTTCTTCAGAACTTTAGTTTTATACAGTGTTATATTTAACCACTTCGATTGGAAATAACTTAAGAACACTTCCGGTGTATAAAGACTTGTCTTGACAATAGGCAATTTAATTACTTCAAGCGAATAGTAACTGTTCAAGAGACTTGTCCTTGGCAATTGATATCTCCTTTTTACTCAAGTTTATATAGGACCTGATTTCTCTGTCTTTCCACTTCCCATACACTCACATTCTTTCTTATATGTACGGTCATGGTTAAGTCACATTAATATTTTATATCATTATTGCTTTTTGTCTTATTATCTCTATAAAAAATTAATATAAAATGTTAACGTGGTTTAATCGTGACATCACAAAATAAAAGAAGATGAAAATGTATGAGAACTAGAAAAGCTGGGTTCGTTTATAAATGGTGGGTGGTTTTGATCATTTCAAATTAAATCTTCTAATTGACCAGTCAAACTCAAACCCATACTTTGACTGCCAAATTTCTCAAACAAATCAAAATTTTCATCGATGACGTTTTTTCTCTTTGGGGAAGGAAGGACCACCGGACGTTCTGACTGCCACCGTCACTCATTTTGTAAGGCCGATGAAAACGTGCCACTTGTGCGTGAATTGTGTCAATAAGGACAGAAACAGCTCACAGTTCTTCCAACAACAAGATCCTACAATTTGTTGACCCACCAATACCAAATTACTAATTACCAATTATTTTCTCAGTACTATTTACTAGAAGTAAGCTTCATGTGTCTCCACGCATGTCTTCTTAACGGTGGTGCGAATCCGCAAATGGTCCATTGATACCTTATTAGAACGAAGACAGTTTTATATTTGACTAATAACTTAACTTAACACAAATGTGAGAACGATATATATATTTATAGTAAATTTGATATTATTTGTAGTTATTGTGTCTTGTTAACGGTGGTGAAAGCTTGTTAAAGGCTTTTCTAAATATTATTGATCAACCCCACTTAGTATTACAATCTAATAATTTTTTGCTCACTTGTAAGCGCTTCTAGTTTACATATGCCTTAAAACTAAGGGCTCATTTGGATATATTATTAAAATGATTGAAAGTATTTTTAGAGAAAATATTTTTTTGTTCAAAAACACTTAAAGTGCTTTCTGCAAGAAGCACCGGTTTTGTGCTTATTCCAGGAAGCACTTTAAGTGCTTTTCCAAAATCTACTTGCATTTTTACTAAGGATTGGTTTCAAAAATATTTTCACCAAAAACGCTTTTAATCATTTTAAAAGTACATCCAAACCAACACTAAAACAATATATAATCATGGATGTTACATGTATCCCCCTATCTTTTCCGCTATCTTGTATGTTAAATTTGGAACACAAAATTTCAACATCTGCAACACTGTCAATACATCTAGAAAGAGTCAAAGCATGCACAAGACCAACAACCACTCCATGTTTGCTATGCTTCCAGCTTCCAAGTCTTTCATTTTTTATTGTTTATTTATTATTATTATTACTGATAGCCATCCCTTTGTCCTTTTCAAAACAAGCCAAAGAAGACCAAAGAAACAGACTGCGATGCCCCCTTGATCAAGTTTCATTTTCTTTCTAACCACCTCCATAAATAACGCCACACTTTCTCTCACTTTCTCGTCGACCTTTCTACTTTCTAGTTATCTCTTAGCTTTCTGCTTTTCTGTTTCTTGCTAACCAAACAGAAAATAAGCTGCAGAGGAAAAAAGAGAGAGAGAGATTAGAAATGGCGTGCTTTGTGCCTTTCAACAGTAAAAATTTGGACATAAGCATGTTTGTGTTCAGGCCAACAATTGTGTTCGTCGATGACCTTCTTAATGCTCTCAAGCAATTCTCTGTGTGCACTGAGTCTCTTGGTTGTGTTCAAAGTTCCATCTTGCAGAGCATCCATGGAAATATGGTACGTACACATTTATATATCAGATGATATTGTTTACCCTATTTTATATTTAAAATACTTGTTTATATTCTTCGCGATAATTCGATCTTAATTAATCGGGCTGTTTTTTCTCCTTGATCATCAACAGTTCATATGGTTTGGAGCGTGGCTGAAGAGATCATGTGAAAACAAAGATTCATTGACTGCAAGCCTTGTAAGTCCATTTCCTGTTAATTACTCATATCTTGCTCTTATATATTCTCTCTCACCTCTCTTTTGTTTTTCTTTTTTGTTTTTTGTTTAATCTCAAAACAGAAATTAAGCTCTTTTCCTTAAATTATACTTTCTAAACCTCCAAATTTTCGAAATAAAGATTATAATAATTTTATATATACTTTCTCAGCTCGATGTAAATAGATGGCGTGTCAAGCATTGAACCTGAGCATAAATTTTGAAGTAAATCCAATAGCCAATGATATATCAAATATTCAAACTTACAAATCCAATTGCTAGATATTTATAAATCAAAATTGCTAAAAATTGTTATGCGAATTTTGACGCACCATCCTTGCTCTCGAACGGATCATGTATGGTGACTACATCTTATGCACAAAGAGCTCGTTTGAAACTGATTTTAAAATAGTTGAAAGCGCTTTATGTGAAAAAGTTTTTGAAACTAATCTTTAGTAAAAATGCAAGTGAATAAGTGCTTCATACAAGAAACACTTGAAGTGCTTCCTACAAGAAGCACTTACAAGGAGTATTTTAAGTGCTTTTGAAACTCACTTTTTTTCTAGAAGCACTTCTAGTCATCTTAATAGTATTTCCATACCAAGACTTTAGTATAGAAGTGCTTCTATCTCCACCTCAAATTACCTATGCAATTAGTCTAACATACGCATGAAAAAAGAAATGCGCATGTAACACACTCAAAATGTACGTGTAGTGTTGGAAATCCAACGAATAAGAAAACCTCTTTACCCCTTTATATAATTTCGAAGATATCAGAATTTTGAAATTCAGTACCATTAATTGGAGGTTTAATGATCCCATGCAGCTCTCAATGTTAACGAATTTATCGAACATGGCTATCTTACTCGATCACTCCTTCTTCGACGCGTATGCTGGAGAATCAAGTGACGGTTCTTGTGCAGCAAAATTTCGCAGAGGTGACACAGTATCACTGAGCACAGCCCTCATCAACGGCGGTGACATAAACAACGTCTCTTACGCATGCTTAGCGTTGTTCAGGTCGGGTTTTCAAAGGATGCAAGGCGTGACAGCCGGTGTTTGTTTGAAATGCCAAACCGGGCCAAGAATTGCTTCTCTCTTCGTGTGGAAGTCTCTGCACTATTGTTACTCATGGATTCTAAATTCCGACCAAAGAAAAGCAATGCTGCCCTATCTCGAAAGCGTCTCGATTGAGATTAAGTACGACATTTTTCGAGTAGTCTATGTCAGCGGCGACAGTGATATCAACCTGCAGGTCTTATATCCTCCTCATCAGATGTTAGAACCAGCTGCATGCGAAAACAAAGAAGGGCAGCTCATGCAAAGTACTTCCATAGTATAATCGTACGACTGAATTGAATTAATATATATATATATATGATGATGATGAGTGTATTATCTGGCCATCGATCATATCAATTTTTTTGTAAACCTACATATATTTATAAATAATATGGCCAAATCGGATAAATGATCCATGTGATCATATGCTATTCGGAAGATAGCTTTTGTGTTAAAAAAACTCGGATTTAAACCCCTGTGGTGTACTCCGTTAGCAATTTTAGTCCAAAAATGATTTTTCCGTTAACTATCTCCTAATACATGGGTAAATTGTACTTTGACGTGTGCACCTTCTTCCTCGTCTTTATACTGTCCAATGTATAATAACAAGGTCCGTAATTTGTAGTTTCACAACACCCACAAAACGCTTGATCCTCCAGAAATCCAAGACCTGACTTTGTCTTTTAGATCCAGTAGTGAACGATCAGGTATTCCCATAGAATGGCAACAACCCAACAAAGAACAAGGAAGCCGCAGCTCTTCCTCCTCCTCCTCCTCCTCAAAGCTAAATTCATTTTCTTCTTCTAAATTTCAGTATAATCAACAAATAAAAATAAAATCCCCCACAATAAAAATGGTGGGTGAATTGAAATAAAAGCTATTTATTTTCTTTCTTTTTATATGATTTTGGTTTCCCTTTTCTCTTGTTTCCTCTTTTTGCAAAAATTTGGAACGAAAACAGAAAGGCAAATCCTCCTCCTCCTCTTCTTCCTCCAAGAATCACACAAAACAATATCACAGGAGGAAATCAGACGGCTTAGGATGCACAAAATCTGACAATATTTACAGCCAAAATAATATCACCAACGAAGTGCTTAAAAATTAAGCGGCAGCAACAACTCGAAAAAACTTAAACAGTAAAGAAACCCTAACCGATTCCAGAGTCTTCAAGAATGCATCCGGCGATTGATTGGAGCATATACCGGCGATTCAATCGGAGCAGCAGCAAGTCCACGAGTCCAAGCAGATTGAAAAACCATGAGAAATCCAAGAGATATGGAAGCCAACGCCAGCATAGAACGAGATGAAGAGGACAATACGACGGGGTATGAGCAAAGCAAAAGCAGATGAAGAAGAACCAGAAGTCTCTATGTAGAAAGAGAGAAAAGAGGAGAGAGAGATTGATGTGAAAATTATGTTGACACACAAATTAAACCCTATTTGTGACAATTATAGTATAAATGCAAGTAGGGATCGTTCTAACCGGGGATTAACTAAGGATGTTAATCTACTCTAAACTGACCTAGAAACACAAAATTAAACTTTAAAACACTTACCTAGACCTATAGACTCAAAACAACTTAAAAAGGCTCAAAACAGCCCAAAACATTCAAATAGACTCAACTTAGACTCTAAAGGGTGATTTGGACGAAATTTAACTAACTTAGACTCAAAACACTAATTTGGACAGATTCAAACACTTTTCTAACTAATCTAACACACTTAATAAAATGGGGAATTGATTTGGACGAAATTAATTAAAATGGACAGATTGTAAACTAAACAGATTAGGCACTAAACTAGGTGAATTGAATGGGAAAAAGGCTAGTTAGGGGGTCCTTCTCCACACATGCACATATGTAACATAAATTGATTTCCAGATTTGATCCCTTTAAACCATGAATGACAATGCCCCAAATTAATTGTGAAAAGTACAAATTAACTTTCAGATTTTCCTAGTTTCATTGAATTGGATGGAAAACGCATCGACAATCAAATTATTCTTATCAAATTCCCTACATGAACTACATAATAGAGATAAAATCAAAGATCATTAAGTTTTTTGAAAACCCTAAGCATTAACTAGGCATTCGTAACTATGAATTGCATGATACTCTTGCCTAGAATTTACTTAATACAATCATGATTAGTGATTTCCACTACTTATGCATATAAAGTCATAACGATTAGGTGAAATTTCCTTATATCCTAACATCAAATTCATGTATGAAAACTAAGTATGCATCCTTAATCAACACACAAGAACAAGTTCTCAATAAATCAATTAAGCAAATCACATCCACAATTCAAGAAACAAAATCTGGAGGAAATCAATTCATATAAAACATATGCCCATAGTTTCGAATTCACCCCTAACTAAGAAAAACTTAGTTACACATGTTCATAACAATTGAAAAGCAAATTAAAATAAACATGGAAACGAAACAAGGGAAGAAAGAACTCTGAAAGTCTCCAATGGATGTAGATTTCTTGCGGCACAAGATGGTCTTTCTCCTATGGAAGCCACGGCACTCCTTCTTCTCCCTAGGACTTGCGGCACAAGATGTATTTTCCGAATGGATGGTGAATGATGTGAATCGATGAATGAATTAAGGGATGAATGGCTGCCTAGGGTGTCTAAGGGCTGCGGCAACTTTAAGTTTTATATATATATAGCATGGCAAAACCCTAGCAATCAGATTTAGGGTTAAACCTAGCTGATACAAGTGTTTTTGGGCCCCTAAGTTGCGGCAAGGGTTTGGGGATTAAGTCCTAGCCCAATCAATCTCAGATATAGACTTATACAATCCAAATCCAAGAGAAAAAGGGCCAAATAAAATCAGAATCCAATCAGAAAAAGGTTTAAGAATTTTCGTCCAAAATTGGGTCTTCTAGAAACTAAGTGTTTTATGGCTGATTTTGGGTGTTCTAGAAGGCATAAAAGGGGGAAGGTGTGGCACCCTTTTAGGGTCAAATAAGGCTTCTAGAAGTTAGGTTTTTAGGTCCACTTGTAGTTAGGATTAAGGTGGAACAAGATTAGGTTAGGATAAGATAAGATAAGGTTTGGATAAGATAAGGTTGGATAAGGTTTTGGATAATGTTTCCTCTTTTCTTGCACTTTCCTTATCTTCTTTGTCATGAACTTTCCTTTTCTGATTTGTAGCATGTTTCTAACCTCTTTTGACTCCAAATTTGTCCATCCATGTAGCTCCATATACAAGCTATCCAAAATAAGCCCAAAACTGCTCTAAAAGGCTCAAAATTGCCTTTTCTTGCCAAGTTTGTCATTAGGACCTACAAACAAACGAAAATAGCTCAAAACACTATAATAAGTAGTAATTAGCTCACTAAATGTAAGGAAATAACATAACTAAGTAGCATAAATATGCTCCTATCAGAAATTGAAGAAATTAAATACTAGGAAGAATGAGGATCAAAGGAGGAAAAGGAGGAGTATGGAGAAGGTTCCCTTTTTGTCGGAATCGACTCACATCTCAAGAAATGCATTTGCCTGTCTTTCACTTCTTCTTCTTCCTCCGCTTCTTGTACCGCCACCACCGACGCTGCCTGCAACTGCATCAACACTTTCTTCTCTTTTGTATCATCTTTTATTTTGCCACCTTCAATTCATGTCAAAGTATAATTTTACCCATGTATTAACAAATAGTTAACGGAAAAATCACTTTTAGACTAAATTTGCTAACAATGTACACCACAGGGGTTTAAATCTGAATTTTTTTAGCACATAACCTATCTTCCGAATACCTTATGACCACATGAATCATTTATCCGATTTGGCCTAATATATAATAAATAAATACACATGATTGTTACGAACCCTTTTCTCTTTAACTTGCATGGCAAGCAATACATATATTGACGCAGCTATGTCTTCTAGAAGAATAATATTTGGCTTCTTAATGCTCACTCTTAGGGTTAGCTCAAGTGGTGAGGGAAAGGCAGGGGCAATGAATTAGAATTATGCATCATAAGTTCAGAGTTTGATTCATTCCAATGTAATAAAGAAAAATGTTCAGCTTTTTACATATAATTATGTGTCATCAATCACGCTACAAGCAAAGTACAATTTTCTACACATTTGAAGAGTAGTTTGACATCAATGTGCAAACTGTTTATAGGGACCCAATTAAAAGACCTCGCCTGCCAATTTAAAGATAATAAGAAGTTAGGTTTGGATCTGGCATGCATATTAGAGATTTAAATCTGCATTTGATGCTCTTAGCTGGGATAGTCAAAATTACAAAGCCATTTCATGACTTTTCAATCATTTAAGGACCCTACTGGAAAATCTCTTGGAGAAATCATAACCAAACTAACAAATTGTCAAACTTTCCAAGGCAAATCACCTTTATTAGGTATCATATCCTTTGCTTTCTCTATCCATCTTCAGGAAGCTAATGCCTGCAATGAACTGCAAAGGCCCACAACGCATGATTATAAACCCAGAAATGAGAATTTCCCCTTTCCTAATTTCCATCTTCAACGAGAACCACATCCAACATTAAGATAATAAGAATGATGGCTTGAAAACATTTTTGCTCATAAGTACAACTAGAAGTACTTTTAAAATAAAAACGTTGAACGCTTTTTTACTAAAATATAGGTATTTCGTAGAAAAACACTTGAAAGTGAAAGCATTTAGCAAGTATTTCTTCAAAATTCACTTATATGAACCAAAAACATTTTAAAACTTTATGCTACACACATATATTTACAACTTTTGGCCGTCAGAAAGCTATTTTAGTATTTTTAAAAATAGTCTTAAACAAGTCATTAGTTTGCAAACCTTCAATGACTATAAATTAAAGCTCACCCAACCTTATCCTTGTGTCAAGAAAAAAGGGATCGAATTAAAATTATATTAATGAAACAAGGTGCTTCACATATCAAAACAAAGCTATTCCCTTGCAACTTTCAAATATTGGAGAAAGAAAAAGTGGCAAGTACTTAGGGGACCGAAATAAAATAAAGCTAAAAGGTCATTGAGCCTTTTGATTCAAATAGGATCAAAACAAACATAGTATTCTCTGCTACAAAAGGTCTAACACACTCCCTCTCTAGCTTGTTCTTTTTACTATTAAATCATTCATACCGCAATATGTGCAACTATTGATGCCTTTATTTTCTATGGTGGGTGCATGTTAGGTCTTTGCCCGGGTCTACAAGTCCTACAACCAAAAGTTTAAAAAGAGTGTTTGAATTATGTGACTAAAGGGCGTGCAATATAAAATTGACTACTACTGCTCGGGTCTTTTGCCTATAGAATATGAAATATGGCTTTCATTTTTCTTACCATTTCCAATTGTGAATTCTTTTTGGTTAACGACAGAGGTAAATGTCTAACAATGGCAAATTACAATAAAGCATAACGAGGTTTAAAAATCGTAGCAACATGAAACACTAAAACGCGTCGACAAGAGGAAGGTTATAGCGAATCGTCTTGCCTAAGCCTCCTCAAGGTTTTAATATGTAGTATCCTTTGCCTAAGCCTAAGCCTCATATGATTTGTCCATAATTGAGTATCCTTTGCTATACGTACCCACCTAACATCAAGGTTCAGCCTTATCATAAATTTTCATAGTAATAACCGTTTCATATTACTCCCTAGTAACCTTTCAATTACTTTCCTCATTCCCTCTTGTACAAACATAAACAAGTTAGTTAAAACAATGTGTTAATTTGCTCATTGAATCTAAGTTCGAAAAATCTTCTTCCAACACGTTAAATTAAATTGGAATATCACTTGAACAAAAGAAAAATATCTTAACTATGTAGAAACTAAGCTATATATGTAATCCAATAATCTTCATACTCTTGATCAGTCTCTTTGCGTAATTGTCATGAGCTTTTGAACTAATTCGAGTACTCTCAGCTCAAGCATATTTACAGAGAGAAGAATTCTGTTGCAAACTGTTTAGCCAATTGGAGCTACAACCTTGACATGGGTCTTTATTTTCTTGAAGAATTTCCTGTTTGGATTTGTGATCTTTTGTTTGATGATATTTGGCGAGTCGGTAGGAACTGCCTAGTTTGTACTTCTCAAATAGTTTAGTGTTTATAGGGTATTCACCACAAGATTACCAAAAAAAAAAAATGAAAATCAAATATTTTTATTGCTAGTAAAAATATCCAGTGTAAAAGTGAGAAAAATTTGAACGCAGGTTTAATGATATCGAAAAACAACTCTTTTAAAACTTCAGAACCCAAAAAAGTTTTCAATAAAATAATGCTAAGAAGATCAAAATTTTAAATAAAATTTGCAAACCAAATGATATGTCACCAATAGAAAATAAGCACGTTAATCAATACTTAAGTACTTACAAAATTTAATTTCAAATTGTGCCTCTCTAGCATTACTCTTTGTTACGTCACAATCACAATAAGAATATCAAACGCATGATTGGTTTTGGAGTATGATATATGAGCAGTCTGCAGAAGAAAAAGGAGAAAACGAAGGGTGCCGACTTGTTCTCTGTTGACTCGGCATGTGGAGAATGTGGTCAGAGAAGTAGGCTACAGATTGAGCCAATTTTTCAAACATTTTGTAAGTGCCAAGCTTTCAATTTCGTCCATGGATGCTTGCATTGGACCAGTTGACAAGGAAAACACACATGTGAGTAGGGTTACAAGTCCCAATCTGCTGATCGAGCACATTGCAAAGAGTAATGCCAAATTGCCAATAGAAACTGTGTGAAGAATGTCTTGGTTCAAATTATTTTCTTGATGAATTACAATCGTAGGTGTGGGACCCAGGATTATAATATAAGGGATCCCTAGTTACTTTGCCTCCTAGGGCTTTGAGCACTACATTTTCATTCTTAGGTAATAATATAATAAAAAATGTTATTCGTACCTAATTTTTCATATCCTACTTCTATTATTTTTTTAATTGAGATAAGTAAATGACTTAAGAATGGAACATTAAAGTGCAAAGATAAAGACTAAATTGCTACTATAGGTCTCTTTTAAAATAAGAAAATTGATAGAAAGTCACGATTATTCATTATTTTTAAAGATTCATTAGTGCGTTAAGATTTGCATCTTTTGATACGTCAGGATAATATACACCATCAATATCGCAATACCATGTATTTTAACACGTCTAAATAACAACACGCATTGAGTTATTGATTTGAAATATGCGAAAAAAGAGTGTAAATATTTCTTCACATAGCAAACGACACAAAGGTTAGGGTTTATGATAGGATTATAGAATTCTGAACCCTACAAACAACCACAATGAAATGACCCATCTGATGTGACTGACACTGTTCATTCACGTCCAAATTTAATAATGAGTCTTGCTTTGGTGCATGTGTTTACCAAAAGTATATTTGACACTTTGACTGCTGACCTCACCCCTCCCCCTAATATATTCTTCCATTCACGTCAATTCAACTAATCGACAATTGCCACCTCCGCGATTTAAGTTTCAACAAACCATTTGGCATTTTCCCTTTTAGTCTGAGTCGAACTTTGTTCATCTCTTTAGGCATTCATTGGCGGACTGAACGTAGCAAATTGTGATCTATTGAAATGAATTCGAATTCAGTTTTTTATTAATTGTATTAAAATATGAGATGAACTTAATTAGACATGATACATTATAAATTCATTTTAAAAAGTGAGCAACTGGTTAGTTAACAATTATGCAGCTATTAACCACTTCCACTATATTATCCCGTGATTAAGGGAATTAATTTGATTTCTGCTTCATCGAGCATTCCAAACAAATTATCTAATTGGTTTTCTTAAAAAAATTCTTATGAAATGACAGAAATATTTAAAAATAGGAGGACAAATAATAATTAAGGATATAAGTTTGAAAAAACTGTGGCAGACAGTCTTACATTTCCGCAGATTATCTTTTGCTAAATACACACATAATCCGAGGGAAGGTAGAAGAAGAAGAAGGTAAGACTGAACATCCAATTATGTGGTACATTTCTGGCCATGCTACCATCGTCCATGTCCAAATATAAGCCCGTAATCATTCAGTGTATAAAAAAAATTGAACACAAATATGTATTTGTGATTATTAACATTTTTTTGTAAGAACTCTCAATTACAATAATTAGCTAAGATAGAGCTAATTAAATATGAGGTCTCTCGCTCATGTGCCACATCATTTTCCTCACGAATATCGACAATGATATGCTATATGATTCACTTGTTTCTTGTTCTTGCTTTAATTATGCAATAATTTTGTGATTATTTGTCGAATCTGTGATCCAACTACGTGATGAAAAATATGGATAGATGGATATACCTCCATCTATACAGTTGAATCATCTTATGTTTACGGTTAGGTTCAACGTTACATTTTAATTTGAGATGGAATGAAGAAATATTAATGAAATAAGATTAAAAAACAAAAATTAACAGTTTGAAATAAAAAATGATGCATGAATAGCAACCGAAATCATTTGTTACATAAGCTTGATTGACAATCATCCAAGATTAGGGCCCACAAATTAGGTGATTAGATTAGATAGATTGACAAGTAATTATTTTTTCACCTCCATTTTCTTCAAGCAAAATGGTATTTCTATTTATAGTAAATTTTTGTGATTGATTGAGTATCGACCCACAAGCTTTCTTCAATTTATAGGGTGGGCAACTCGGTATTGGATCAAAACTGAAATCAAATCAATCTAGTCAAGGATAAAATTGTAAATCGAAACCAAGTTGGATCTTAAACCGATCAGGTCGATTAACCGATAATGACAGGTTGGTTTGGATCAGTTCTTAGTTGTGTGAAGGCGAAAATACATAACATATGTCTTTCCTTAAAGGTATAAAACGTAGCATTAATATGAGCGATTGCTCAAATGAAAGCTCAAATGAAGCTACCCAAGGAGAGTACGAAACCAATAGTTGCTGCTTTCTCCAAATGATGCTCTCTATTCTTCTCCAAAGAGACTCTTAAATCAATCAAGTTTTGTTTTCATGTGATGAAACCACGCTAACTCGTAAAGAACTAACCATTTATATTACTATACATATTAATTATGATTAAAAATAAATAAATATATGCCAGTCAATTTGATTAACCACATTCTAAGAATTTGGGAAACCAATTACCAAATTATTAAGGTCGGTCTTGTTCGATTTAACAACAAAAAATTATAAAAAATAAATAAAAAAAACCAAACAAGCCACCCGTTCTGTTTGGGCGGTTCAGTCGGTTTTTTTTTTTTAAATGCCCATCCCTAGTTTATATGTAGAGCAAACTGAAATTCCACTTTTCAGCATTGTCACTGTTCAAAAAACTCTGCCTTTAATCATTTGTTTCATTTTCAAAAATAGAAAAATTAATTAGTTGATAAAATTATAATACAAAGGAAAATAATAATAATTGGGTCTATGAAAAAATCGGCAATTTCTGGTGGAAGATAAATTTTTTATTGAGACAGGAACACGAGTGGTATATCACGTGTTTTAATGTAAGTGGTAAAAAATTTTATTTTTTAAATAATTAAATTTTTAAAACACATATCGTACTATTTATATAATGATATATGATGTACCATCTTATATACTGGTCATACAGAGAAATCTGTTCTCGTGGGAAGCCCGCCAACTATAATTTAAATGGAAGAGAGGTCCGCCTGCAGATTTTTGGCACGTCATGTGGTCCCCGGTGATTGTGGGGTCAATTAATGACGTGTCAGGATCAGAAAGAAGTACAGCACGGCCTTGTGCTGCAGAGGAGTACAACTAAACAAAACAAAATCGTGCGATCTTATAACTAGGAACAGTGAAAACACGCCTGTCTGAGACTCTGTCTGCCTACCAAAAAAATACAGACAGTCAAAATACAGAGAGAGAGAGAGATGTATTTTCCCCAATTTAAAGGTCCCTTCTTGCTTTCTAGTTCCTCCTCAGAATGATATTGTAGAGAGCAAAGAAGGTTCTTTTAGAGAGAGAAAGTTGGAGAGAGAGAGAGAGAGAGAGAGGGAGAGAGAGAGAGAGAGTTAGAGAGAGATCTAATGGAGTACGAGAGGATACACAAAGTTCAGGTAAATTTAACAAAAACCCATGTTTTTAACTTTTTTATTTTCTTTTGGAGATGAATGGAGTTTTTCTCCTTGGTTATGGACTTTTTCCTGAATGATTTTTTTACTTTGTGGGGTTGTTTCTGAAATGGGGTGGAGGGAAAAATGAGAAAATGCACTGAAGAATCATGAATTTTGTTGAAACTGGATTTGCTATAATATTTATGTGCTCAATCAAATTTGGATTCCCATTTGCTACTTCATTGTAATATTTAATTATTAGCCCTGTTTAAAATTAAGACTTGCTTAATTATGAGTTTCAAGTCACAGTGGAATGATGTGAAATTATGGCTTTATATTTCTGTAATAATTGTTAATTTTCCTCTATTTTTTAATTTTAAAAATAAAATGAAACTCAAAATAATGCTATTTGGTTCGAATTTGAGATGATTTAGAATGATTGAAGTAACTTTATTAATTGGATTTGTTTAATCAGTTTATTTTGTTCACAAAGATCACAGCTTTTAGCATCTTTTTTATTAGTGGAATGAGGGTAATAATTTTTACTGTGTCTTTTTTGTTTTCCTTTTCAGACCGGTATAATTTCTCCCAGTAAATTGAGGATGAAGCTAATAGGGCCTCACCATCACAAAAAGAAGGATGGATCAAACAGCAACTCCTCAAGAACTTCGCCCTCGAAGCTTGATGATTCCGAATTCGTGAAGAATAGCTTGTTAGACCCCATGAATGGAGATGAGGAAGGTTTGTCTCTCTTCTTTTGGTTTGAAAATTTGTAACATGAGCGTCGATTAATCCCAGCTTAGCTCTCGAATGGCTTTTACGTGCATTGCGGAAATGCTTAACTGTTTACTGATTGAGTCTTGTGCTGTCCAGTTACATCTTCCAGTTTGGAAGTTCTGTCTATGAATTTGTTGAGGGCAGCGGCATTGGACGTTGGACAAAGCGATCAAGCTTCTTGCCAACCAAAGGCAGTCGTTGCCACGAGAAAATAGTGATGCCGGTCGTGTTAAATTGCAGCATTATGCAAAGGGTGAGAGTGGTAATTCAAGCGCAATTCACCCCGTGAGAATGATGGATGACGAAAATCTTGATTATGATAGTAATGCTAGTTCATCCAGTTTTGAGTTTCATAAAGGGGAGAAGTCGGTACATAAGCACCTTTCGAGAACACTTTCAAGAACTATGCCATCTAAGTGGAATGACGCCGAGAAATGGATAATGAGTAAGCAAATTGTTCAAGCTAATTTTCCCAGAAAGAGTGCTTTACAAAACCAAACAATTCGTTTGCCGGTGACAAATATGGTGAGGGTGGTTCCGGAGTCTGCTAATTATGATTATAAGCCAAATGGCAGAGGAGCAGACACAAAGCGGGTTGATTTCTGTCAGCCTTCATCGCAGATTGGATTTGATAAATTCTCTTTTGTTCCTTCGGAGTCTCAATTGAGTTCAGGTCAAGCTTCTGACAGGAATGCTCTGTTTGATGAATCCACACAAAGTAAAGATTTAATGGAAGTAGGTCATGGGAATGCACCGTGTTCTAAGAGTACTGCTGAAAATACTGCAGGTACGCTTTCATTGGCTTTAAGAACTTCATGTGGTACTTTGTTTTGTAGGTGTTGTATTTCTTTTTGATGAAAATTTACATTACCTATATCAAGTTCCATGAGATTTGTTGTTGCATTGCTTATAGCTTCCTTGTTCGTAGACTTCAAAGTGTATAGCAGAGGCAGGGGAAATTGACATTTTGCATTCGGTTTATGCAGGCACTGCTGCCATAAGAGCAGTCTCAATGAGAGACATGGGAACAGAAATGACACCTATCCCAAGTCAAGAGCCTTCAAGGACTGCCACTCCTGAAGGGGCAACAACCCCACTCCGCAGTCCAATCTCTTCAATGCCGTCAACCCCCCGAGGAGGTGCACCGGCTCCCACACCTACCACTGATGGGGAATCACGGCCAAACAACAAAAAGCAATTGTCGGAAGAAGAATTAAAGCTCAAGACAAGAAGGGAGATTGTAGAACTTGGTGTTCAGCTTGGTAAGATGAACATTGCCGCTTGGGCAAGTAAAGATGAGCAGGAGAAAAAACTTTCTGCTGAAAAAACTGATGCAGCAGAACTTCAGCGGATAGAATATGAAAAACGTGCAGCTGCCTGGGAGGAAGCTGAAAAATGTAGACATACAGCAAGGTTTCTTCTTCAACCCAATAATCCCCATACTTTTAGAACTTCAATTGGATCACCTTTGTTCGTTGCTTCTTATAGAGTACTGTTATGCTTTTGTAGTAGAAACCATGTAGATATATTCTGCCATCCTAACATGACTAGAGATCGCTAACATTTCTCAGGTACAAGCGCGATGAAATCCAAATCCAAGCATGGGAAAGTCAGCAGAAGGCAAAACTCGAAGCAGAGATGCGGAGAATAGAGGTATTTGAGTTCTTTTGATTTTGCATCATTAGTCAGCAGAACTGTTCTATTTTCGAGTCTGAAACCTTGATCGATATTTCTGGTGTATTGTATTGAACTGGTTCAGTGAGCTCCATTTATTAACTTTATACCTGGCGATTGGGAAAGTATTATAATTTATGCTTTTCTTGACTCTCAACAAGTTGTGTTTCGTACTTACCAATGATATGTTTTTGGTAGGGAGGATAACTCCTTATTTGTCATAACTAATTCCGGAGTACTTCTTTTCAGGCTCAAGTTGAACAAATGAGAGCGCAAGCTCAATCCAAGATAGTGAAGAAGATAACACTAGCAAAGCAAAGATCCGAAGAGAAACGGGCAGCAGCGGAAGCCAGAAAGAATCAAAATGCAGAGAAAACTGCAGCTCAAGCTGAATACATCCGCCAGACTGGACGAATGCCATCATACAATTGTTGCGGTTGGTTGTGAGAAACCAGAAACAAAATATAGAAGAAAAGTTTCATACACCGCTTGTGTTGTACGTGGTACACATTAATATGATGGAAGGAGTTTGTGTAACATACAAACTTTGTATCTAAAGAACAACCAGTGTTTTTGAACATCCATGTTCCGTCGTTGTTTGCACCATCTCCCCCAACTTTCTGAGATTTGAGGAAAAGAAGATAACAAATAGGAAATGTTGACTCTTGAGAGCAGAAAAATCTAAAGCAATTTTATACTAGTTAGACTTATTTTAGCTTATATACGTTGAAGGCGGAATTCTCTCTTTCAAACTCTAACAGTGCCCAACAGAGGGTGTGAGTGGCCTGTCAATGAACAATATTGAGTCCTCGACTGGCTTCTCACACCCACACAACTATGCACATAGGAGACTACCTCAAATTGAAAGTTGGTGTACCTTAAATTAAGCCCACCACCATCAAACTTAAAAACTTATTTCAGCCCAGAAAGGAGCATTGTAGAAAGTCCTAGGCTCCTAGCCCTAAGAAAGATTCCTGGATATAGGTGTCCCTAGTCCCACTTGAAATTCATGGGACATCTTCCAATTCCCAACCCAACTTTTGATGAGATAAGTATTCCGACCTCACATGACAAAAAGCTTATACTGCGTATTGTTTAATGAAACCCCACATGCTTGTGCACACCCCTAGAGTTGGAGGGCTCTTTTATATTTGGCACCCCCAATGCCCTAGGCCAGGCCACTTAACCTAGACACCTCTAGGCATGCTTCAAACATGGCTTAACATACATTTTTCAGCATCCACTTTTTGGAACTTGTCTTTCTGATAAACTAAATAACAATTCCCTCCGTAATCTTACTTTTCTGAGTTGCTTATGTCTACAGGAGCAATCCTTGCAAGCAAAGAAATAGTTATTTGTGTCACTCGTGATATGTTTACTTACACGAGATATAATCATTCTAATTCTTTACTTTTCTGCATTTAACAAAACTAGGTATCAAAATTATTTTGATTTTTAAGTTCTCACGTGTTAATAAAAGCATATGAATAACTTTTTGAAAACGTGTCAGCAAATTATGACACCTGCACAGCCGTTAGCACACGACCTCTAACCCGACATGCTGCATAAATGATTGTACTCATGCTAGCGCAAGCTCACATGGTGTTACCATCACACTATGACACAACATTTGGAAGAAATTAAAAAGAAAAAAGAAGTCCAATAATTAAACGTCGAGATCATGTACAAATTTTCTCCTCCAAAGATTTTTGGACTGAGCTTCAATTCAGGCAGACAATAAAAGGGTTGATGTTCATCGTGTCTGTTTAAACAAAGATGGGAGACTTTGATCTAGTGATGGTGTGGATGACAGAGCATGGGGTCATGCACAAAAGTGAGCATGCAAATTACAATGCAAGTTCAAGAAAAAAGTCACTGCCTTATAATTGTATGCCAACCGGATCTGGATTGTCTGTCATTCCCATCTTATACCATTCTCATCCCCTCTTATTTTTGTGGTTATGGTTACGTCAGATCAAAATCTTATATTCTCATTATTTTTTGTCTTATTATTTCTATAAAAAAATTAATATAAAATATTAACGTAACGTCGTAACTTAACCGTGACCACAGAAATAAAAAATGATAAGAAGGGTATGAGATGGGGAAGGAAGACAACCCAGGTCCATGCCAACCTACCTTTTAAAGGGGCAGGATCCTATTGGTCCATGCCAACCTACCTTTTAAAGGGGCAGGATCCTATTATTGTTGTGGAGGGTGCCCTACCTTTGTCACCTTTCCATCCATCAAAATGTCCCATCTTTGGAGGTAACCCCACAACATGCATAACCCAAACTTTTACTCATCTGCCATCGGGTCCACTAGTGACTTTAGTGGTTTAATATCTCTTTGTTCTTTGACCTACTGTACATGCATTTATTTAATACATTTATTATTTAATACGTACATGAATGTACCGTAATCAAGTCATTTTCTTTGATTGTCTTTTGAATCAAAATGCTCGTTTGTTCTTCCCTTTATTTGACACAGGAAATATACATGATTGACAATTTATTTAACCTTTTTTTGTATAAATATGTATGTTCGACCCTTTATCCGACTTCAAGTGCATGGGTTTCTTAAAGGTTTAAATGTTAAAATGGTTTATGTGGTTTAGTCATCGGGTTAATTTAGTCCTTGTGTTTTTAATTTGGTCAATTTGATCTTTGTGTTTATCTATGTTAGTCAATTAAGGACATTTCCACCTAATTTTTGTAATTTTTTTTATAAATTATTTATAAAATTATTTTTTTATTATAAATTATTACAAACTTATATATAAAATTATTTATTTGATTTAAAGTATTCAAAAATGAATAAAATTAAAAATTAAAAGAAAAATTATTCTCCTCCCAACTCCTTGACCGCCTCTCTTTTCTACGTCACAGCCTTAATCATTTTTCAGATTAGAAGTTTTATTTCTTATATGTGTTATTTCTCATTGATTTTTATTTTTCTGTAAAAATAAAGGGTAATTATATCTCATATAATTTTTTTTGTGAATTTTTTAAAAGAGATTGAATGAAATGTTCTTAATTGGCTAATATAGACAAACATGGGAACTAAATTGACCATATGGCTACAATAAAAAGACCATTTTGTCATTGAAGCATTTTTAAAAATAAAAAATAAAAATAAAAATAAAAAGTTAGAATTGTAGAGTTTGGCAAAGTTCGAGTAAAAAAAAGAAGCTTATAACTCATCATTCGAGTGGTTGGGGAATTGGAGATTACTCACCAACCCAATTTATAAAATTTCAATTAAAAGAAAAACTGAAAAAAAAAAAAAAAAAAAAAAAGTTTTTAATTTTGAGAACATGCATGCCGACACAGCATGGGGCCCTCAAATAATTGTGAAAGAAGGTTGATAAACATTCAGTAGGAGCCTCGGAACTGCAGTAGGGGCCTCCGGCTCAAGAGGCACGTGTCAATGGCCCTTCGCAGTGGACAAGCCGCGAGAGTGGCCTAGAATTACAATTTCCACCGAGCGGCTAATAGAATTCTTTGCAAACGATTTAAATACGCGAGAAAATTAGGTAGATGTGGGTATATATCCACATTACCTCAAATATTCTGCTTTTAAAATGCACAAGCGAATCACGCGTAGATATGAAACATGAGAGAATTAGGTGTTTTGATATGCATGTAAAGCTTTCACTCCTGCAGCCGAAGTCCAGAGTTCAGTTCGTCCTCCGTCCTCTGTCAATATCGCTTAGAGAAAGCCATGCAGACACGAACTTACAGTTCATATGCAATGAGAGAGATTAATTGAGCAAATGAGGGGCTTCGCCTTCCCCACAATTTGTAAACTACACCAGAAACATACTGTAATAAACCTTTTTAAGGCTATTTTCACAAACATTAATCTCCTAATACAGCGTCGTACGTATTTCGATAGAAGGAAATAACGAAAAAAAATACGTATCATTTAATTACAGTATTGGCTTATATATAAACTAGGCTTTAAAGCTAAAGTATTAGGCTGCCCTTCCAACTCTTTAAAAGGGTTGGAGGGGTTGCAAATAATATTACAGAAGAGAGAATGGTATCTTAACCGGTTAAGTCGTTCAATACTCGAGTGACCCCACGGACGTTATCCCGCTGCTCAAGTTTCTTGAGTCCTGCCGGCTTCCATAGTCGTCGCAACTATTGTTTGGGAGCCTCTGATTTGGGACTGACTTTAGAAGTTCTAGGCCTCGTTTCCCCATTTGCTGCACTTCCTGTGGTGAGAGTATTTTGATACACCACACGCTATTTACAAACTCCCTGGTATCAGCATAAGAACAATGAATCAAGAGTCAGTTAATCAATAACCGAATTCAGATGTAACTAATTCAAAGGTGCACCGGAAAGTTTACTGTCAAGTGGTCAACATTTCAATAGTGCCTAAATAGATGCAAGTCATTCGCTACAAAATTGGGAGCCTAGTCCACATGGAAATTAAGTTGTTCTTACTTAGAACAGTTGGCAATGACAAAAATACTAAACAAGTTTTCTCAACAACGCCTCGTCTTAACTCTTCACAACTTACAGCTAGAGGAACTTTTTAAGTCTCCGAAAGTTCAGACTCAGGTGGACTCATGAATTTTTTATCCTACAATTCATAGCTAGGAGCCTAGGAGTATTTGCCCGAGTTTGCAACCAAAACAAAATTATAGAAGAAGGAACTCACGGCCAGGGGTCATCCCCGAGGAGAAGAACATCATTCTCCCGGTCAACAAATACAAGCTGCCAGCCTGATCTCACAGGGTCGTCCAATTCACCTTCAAGGCCGAACATACGAGCAAGCTCGTTACGTAGTTCCTGATAGCTGTTGAACTTGGTAATGTCCAGGGACCTTCCAAAGGACCCTGACTTATGAACCTGCAAATAATTATGGTTTTGATTAAAAGATGAGAACATATTAAGGCAACTATAATATCACATGTGGTCTAGTTGAAAATTATTGAACTTTACAAAATAATTTATAAGCCTTAAAGAGGCCACTGCAACTTACCTTAACAAAATTTCTTTTTAGTGGGTCTCCATGGTCCGCATTTTCTGGAGACTGCAGGAACCCTGATTCATCAATACAACTAGAAGGTGTAACTGCTGTTTGAAGTGAAAAATCTGTGCCTCCAGTGCTCATGTAATTAGAAGAAGGAAAATGCAAGGTCGTAGTATCACAATTGCTGCCAACTCCTCTAAGGTTTGACATCCCGCTCTGCATTATAAGAGGTGAGGACTCTATATTGACACCGAATAAAAGATGGCTTTGAGGATCGGTACCACCTTCTTGGTCTAGTGAGCACTCTCTCCCTGGAAAGGGTGGCAATGAAATAGAATTCTGAGACATAGTAATGTGGGGAGGTCCCAACTGTTCTGCTCGAGGCAGAATACATTGAGAAACTCCAGAGGAAAGGGGGTCAATTGCTGCTCGCTTTGATGGCCAGCCATCAGAAGATATTAATTGATTGGTTCTAGGCAGGTTGAGCAGGTGGGATGATTCATTCTGTGGAAATGAACCCATGAGACTGTGCAAGGGAGATAAAATGGTGCTGGTTGCAGGGCTCCCATTAGAATCAGAAAAACTCTGTTGCTGGCATTGCGATGTGAAGACTTGCAAAGATGGTGACTGGGATTGAGAGGTGGAAGCAAACTGAGTCATGGAAGAGACAGCACTTGGAATCTGCTGATGATCAACTAATTGCTGCTGCTGCTGGTTACTGAAA